AGGCTGCTAGGCTGCCAGGCTGCTAGGCTGCCAGGCTGCTAGGCTGCTAGGCTGCCAGGCGGCCAGGCTGCTAGGCTGCCAACTTCAGGCTGCTAGGCTGCTGGGCTGCCAACTTCACGAACATGAAAACAATGTTAGATAAAAATGCAAAAATGGCACTTTTTCTTTCATATTTTTAAAGATTTTTTGTACAAAAACTTAAAAACTTGACTAACAATGTAGTTAACCTATAATTTGATTTTTTCTTATATGTTTAAAGAATTTTTTATGGAAATAAGCATACTACAAAAGAGATATATCAGTTTTGCATAAAATTGGCAGCCATATTGGACGCCATCTTGGATTCTGAAAAGGTATGATAGCGAAATTTTTAAGATTTAAATTTTTGAAAAGGAGAAAATATATGCATGCTTTGGTGTATGTTTCAAGTGTGTACAAAAAATTGTAATGAATGAGCTATTATGTACGTTAAATTTATATGGCGGCCATTTTGAAAATGAGCAGAGATATTTTTGGCCCACTTCACTTTTGAAATCTACATGGTCTAAAGATATTTTCCTGAAAGTTTCATGCTTGTATCACAATTTGCACTATTTTGACAGAAGAGACCTTATTTCCCGCCCCACTAAAAACGTCCTCTTTGTTATGCATTTGAAATCTAAATGTAGAAATGTAGTAAACAAACATGAACGTATAGTACTGTATACAGTGTATGGAACAGAATTAATGCATTTATTCTATCTTGCTTGATGACATTGAAACTTGCATTATTCTTAATTCCATCTTGCTTGATGACATTGGAACTTGCATTATGCTTGATTCCATCTTGCTTGATGACATTGGAACTTGCATTATGCTTAATTCCATCTTGCTACAAGACATTAGAACTTGCATTATGATTGATTCCATCTTGCTTTATGATATTTAAACGTTGCATTATTCTGGATTCCATTTTTCATTATTTCATTCAAACATTTCGTAGTGACCAATTCTTTCATTGAGTGATAACTATTAAACTGGAACAAGCCATTTGGAATACTAAAATGTTAACGTCTTATACCTTTATCTATAAGCTACCTTTCTTCATGCTCTATACAAACTTTTTACGGTTTAGTTTTTTTACTATTACTTTTATGTAGAAGTCATTTAAAATTGACTATTTTTGTTCCCTGATGGATTTTGTTAAAAATGTGACTTATTTGATTTACAGCTCGCATGGCGTGATTACTATTAGCTTTCGCTTATATCCATTATTCAGTGTTTATGCTTAATAAAGCTCGGTGTCTGAGGCTTTGTGGATTATGTTGATCATCTTACATTATGATAAAACAATTTAAACAATTGTCTAGCGATTTGTGAACTGTTAAGGGGCTGAAGAACTCTGTTATCGATATCAACGGATATTTTCCATGATTCGCCTATCATCGGAATTTTCCGTACATGTATATATTACGGAATACCGTTAGGGCCATCGTGGTTATACGTTAAAATACAGAGGGCGACAATGCTATCAATTCGTACCAAGCGCTTAATACATAAATTGCAGTGGAAAGAATATAAATACAAGTAGTAAGGATTATGTAATATAATTTATACATGTATATGTATACAGTCTAATAGAAAAAAATATGCTCGTAAACAGTTATTCAATGGGGCAGTTATACGTACAGTGGTGGATTCAGGCTTTGGCTTAAGGGCTGCACCTACCCCTAAAGATACGTTGATGAGCTGGGATGGAATATATACGTGTAAGTTTTCATGCAATAGTGATCATATAGTGTACTCCCTTATCAAAAACATATAATGCTGTCATCCAGTTGTTAAGCACCTGCCTAGGTACTGCGATTGCGAAGGTCTTTATCTAATGACTTGGACATTAAAAGCAAAAACTTATTAATTGGCATTTTAACTTAATTAAATGTCTCAGAGTCACTAATAGTGGCGAATAGGTATGTAACACATTAAAATATACTGTATAATAAGGAAAGAAGGAAGTTGTTTATTTTTGTGACATGTGCATAGTCAATTACAAATGTTGGGCATATGTGTGTCTGATTATAGATCAGACATCCCGCACACACCACCACATTCACATACATTTGTGCTTCAGTAATATATTTTTATAACAGAAATTTTATTGAAATCTATAAATTCTTACTAAATATGTTTTATTTAAATAAAAAAACACATACACATAATGTATAGGAATCTGCTTTTCTTATTACGGGTCAAGTAAAGTTGTGCCTGTCTTTAAAAGAAACTCCTATATATATTTTTGTAATAACACCTATACATGAGTAATTCATACTGCCCACTTACAGTGTAAAGTATCTTAAAGCACAATGTTTTGTGTGAAGCCAAATTATTTTATTTTATTTTACCAAAAAAAAATCAAGTTTGTACTGTACTAAGTCGTGAGCCACGAGTTACTAAGTGACATGTGTGTGTTTTTATTTATCTCGTGCGCACGAGATACTGTGTCGTGGCCACGGAGTTACTAAGTCGTGGCCACGAGATAGTTAAGTCGTGGAACGAGATACTATATCGTAGCCACGAGATACTATGTCACGGCCACGAGTAAACTAAGTCGTTTAAGTCGTGGGAACGAGATAACTAAGTCGTGCAGAACGAGATAATTAAATAAGATTACACCATGATTTTTTAAACTTTAGAAAATTTCTGTTTAAAGATTACGTGCAACATTAATCTTTGAAATAATGAAGTGTTCACTTTGAACTTAATACATGTCTTTAGAATCATAAGGCCCATAAATCAAGACATTAATTTATGATAAAGTTATAGCCCTTTGTTGGGACAATTCTATGATAGAATTGGTCATTTTGTACGTACAAAGGCCTGTTAACATTGTTTACTAGTATACCATAACTTGAGAGGGACTTAGTTCTGGGAAGGGACATTGCCCATGGACAGTAGATATCCTATAAGGATGTTTGAGGTCCACAGGTCAGCGTTCCAGATAAAACATGACACTTCAATGTAAAATCCTTGTCTGATGAATGATTTAGAAAGGAATAAGCCGTAGTTTATATAACCTAAAATGCATCAGTAAGATGGACACCTAATTATTTTAAGGCAATTTGGTCAGAAATCAGTGTCACAATGACGCTAAATCTTTGCACCAATCAAAAACTTGTATAAATGGCAACTTTTACGGGCAAATGAAGTAGGGGCATCCTTGTTAGGAAATATGATATTAAATAGTCGTAATTTGGATTGTTTATTATATCTCGTTCGCACGACTTAACTTCCTCGGTGGCCACGACTAAACCTTTCTCGTGGCCACGACATAGTAAACTTGTGTTCCAACGACTTATTTATCTCGTGGCCACGACTAAAGTAACTCGTGGCCACGACTAAGTTTTCTTCGTTCCAACACTTACTTAATTACCTCGTGGCCAACGACTTAGTAACTCGTGGCCACGACATAGTATCTCGTGCGCACAACTTAATTATCTCGTGCGCACGACTTAGAAACCAATGGCCAGGACAAAGTATCTCATGCGCACGAGATAAATAAAAACACACACATGTCACCTTTGTGCCACCTTAAGTTTGATAAAATTTCAATTTCACTTATCACGCCACACGCTCAAAGAGAAGTGTAAAACAATTGTATAAGAGGTGAGTTGCCACTTGTAGGATGAGTTATTAGAGACATATATAACTTTTTTCCACATGCTGGCGGAATCTTCAAAAACACGCACTTTTCGTCTGTCGCATCGTGTTCTCTTGTTTTTCAGTAAATTTTACATGTCAGTCTCCAACTAACACTGTTCTGTATACGCCCCTATATAAAGTGGACGTAACTTTGCCAAAATACGGGATCATCCGGAAAATAACGGGATGTACCGACAAAGCGACACCTGCTGTCATAATATGAACACAAATTATTGCACCTCGCATTATGCTTACTGCCAACTGCTTAGTGCGTACTGTCACATGCGACTATAATATCGTTATCGTTGTCATCTTCGTTGTTGATGCGCAGTGATCATGTATTGCATTGTATTTGTAATCAGTGAATATATTGAAGCATGTGAATGCTAAGACACATCAAATCAGCCAATCATTGATCAAAATGAATAGTTTAATTTGACATAATGTCGACAATATAAGTGGCAGATTTATAGCAAATTAAAGATACAACTACCATGTTACATATAGTTATAAAGAATGTTATCTTAAACACCAAACATAATACGTTGTCCTTAAAAAAAGATGCAATTAAACATATAGCATATTAAAATATGTGAGTTTGATGGTTTAGTAGGGAACACACAAGGTTGCAATTACATGAAAGTGCATTCAGTAATCATAAGGCATGATTGAATTCAGCAAAACGCAGGTTTTCATTGTCATAAAGAAGTATAGAAGCAAGCATAATGTAAGTTCCAATATCATAAAGCAAGATGGAATAAATGCATTAATTCTGTTCCATAACAGTGTCGATAGAAGCCATTAAGTTATTTTGTGCAAAGATGGAGTGTCAAAACTGGACTAGTGTATGAATATATATACTCTGCTGACATAAATATTATAGATTAAAGCTGAACATAAAATATCAGTTATATTACAACTTAACTTTGTTAATATTATTTTGATGTTGTTGTAGTTCGTTCTAATGGCTTATCAGTGCAGTATAACATTCATAGAGTCATGAATCGTTTAAATTGATTTAAATCATAGCTTAAGTACCAAAAACAAAGTTAGTTTAAATATATTTATTGCCAGAGTATACAAGTACATGTATATATTTTGAACAGTTTTCTTATAAAAAATGTTTCAATAGTCTTCCTAATTGATGTTTAAGGCAAGCTACCTTGGTTTCTTGGTTTTTATTTGGTGGGTGTTGTTCTATGGTATATAACAACAATATTGTTACAATCTGAAAGTAAATGTTTTTTACATTATAACTTTACGAATTTTTGAATTGTTTAAATGGGACAAAACTGTTATCGTTCCTACAGGAAACACTAATCACCAATCAACTAAATATTATATCAAGTTGTCGATTGAATTTGTATTTGTTCAATTGTCGTTCATATATCCGGGTGGGGATTGTGCATGTTTATATTTTAGACGGATTATCAATTTCAACTTTTAAAGAAGTATATCATCTGGAGAATATTGGTAAGTTCAATCAAAATGGTTTAACACACTTGATGACGATATTTAACGATATTTAAATTATAGTGTTGCGTTGCAAAGGCGAGTGCATTTTTACGATTGTTTAAAATGAATTACTAGTACTGGTATTACAAAGTTGCAACATCTGTGCAGAAATGATCTTGTTTTTATTTATTTATTTATGTATTTTGTTTTGTTTTTTTTTTCAATATTCTGAATAGGTTTTAATGTTACAGGTTTAGAAACGCCAGGTGCTACATGCTTTTGTTACAAACGTATTTGTATGGTATAAATGTATATTTTTGTAAAGTTTTTTTTCCATGTTTTACTTCTTTACACTCAAAGCCCGTGTCCAATAGCCTTAGCTAATATGTATAAAAGTGTTTTTAATCTTCATTAATTATCTGCTTTTAATCTTCATTAATTATCTGCTTTTAACCTTATTAATTATCTTCTCATGGTAATTTGTAATTTCCTTTCATATTTTCACTTAATTTCCTTGCTTATTGTCACAACGCATGCGCACTTAGGTTTTAAAATAAAATGTAAACACAAGTTACAGTTTTTGATCAGCGAAAAAAAAGTACTTTATGTAGGCATTTGTCTTTTATACAGTTTAGAATTAATAGATATTAACAAATAATGCCATTATCATATATTTTGTCTGTCATATTTCAACTTTGTAACATTCGTACAAGCACCTAGTCTCTAGGGCCTAAATTTACAAAAAAATGAAGGTGCAAGTTACGGGTTTCCTTTAGCTTAGAAATAAACATTTTAAGTATCGTATCTTTTAAGTATCGTATCTCATATTTGACTTGTAACAAACTTCATTACACCATGTCGAAAAAAAATCACCTCGGGCAACAAGCCCCATTTTCGCTTAGCGGAAACAATATTTTTTGGCGCTCAACGGGGGACCGTGACTTATAAAGCCACAAGTCAATTAACATTAAACAATAAATGGTTTATTGTGAATAATGTAAAATGAATTGAAATTTGAAATAAAAATAACATGTATTTGACACTAGGTATTTTCTCACCCCCTCTCTCATTTTTACCCTACCCCCCCCCCCCCCCCCCACTTCCTTTTGACCCTTACAGCCCTTATCCCTTTATTTCCCATATGGGCCCGTTTTAGTTTTAATTATTTCACACATTACGTGTCCCTCTCCTTTCGCCGCCCACGGGTTTGGTTTGGTGCACGGCTTTGGTGTGTCGGGGGAGGGTGGGGGCTGCGTCCTGTGACCTTTGCCTTGTTGATCTTTATTCTCGTTTTTCCCCCAACATATTGGATAAAGTTTAAATGAAAGATATTAAAAGATATTCACGACAAAAAATTCAAAAAGAATATTTTTCTTGTTAAGCCACAAACCCAAAGAAGAAATTTAATTAAAAGAATAATAATCAAGAATTTTATATTTCATAGGTGAGTCATGAATTATCCAGTTTTTATTTTGCTTCTGGTGGCAGTAGCTTCGGCTCGATCGGTTGAAGAGTTATCCATTGAAAGCAATAGCATGGACAAAGATGTAAATCTGGAAACTGTTTCAGAGGATACTACTGATATATCAGGTAATGGTTGTGTTATTTATGGACCGGCGAAGCATCAGTAGCAAAATGTTCTAGGTCGCCGACTTCAAATCACATTTCCCACAACGCTGTGGGCTTAAGTCAAGAACTTTGCTTACGGAGGGTCGGTGCTTCTTCTTAGGTGTCCGCACGTGCCTGAAATAATGCATGAAGGGGCACCAGAGCTATTTTCCTACGAGTAATGCTGGAAATTTGTCGTTTACGTAAGACGTTTATAGTATCTGTGTGATTTAAAATCCAACAAAAATAAAGACATTTAAGGTTACCAATCTGACGATTTCGTTGAAATTTTAAAATGATGGTAATAGTAATCAAGTGGTATCCATGTCGTTTTGGTTTCGTATCTTTAAATTTGTAAGTACAACTGCAAAGCATTTTACGTGTCTCTACGTTTGCACAATGATCAGTCTTATTTGATAGTTTCCAATTTATGTCAGTAACTTACCCTGTAAAGGTTATATCACGCTGGCTACCTGGTTCGTCATATTTTAGCAAGGACATTCTGATGACCATTTTGAATGTTAATATTGCCCAAATAAATTCAGGTAGCCTAATATTGAATATACTAGGTCACCACATTTTGTCAAAACATCCAATGTGAGAAGGGTAACTTGTAGTCGGCGTGATATAATAAAATATTATGTCGGGTCTGCGTTAATCGCTCACAACTGAGATTCATCATTTAAATAATGTATAAAACTAGTTTGGTCATTCTATTCATATACTTAATTGCTCCTTTCATTCATTAATTCATTAGTGCAAGTTTGTGTATATAAACTGATATCCACTTAATTATTTTACCAAGACATAATATGATCGAATGTATCACAGAACTGGGAGCTTCAACAGTAAAAGACCCAGACAATGGTTTAAGTTCGTGGTATGGAGGAAGTAAAATTGCATTTTCTGCATTTCTCAGCAAACGTTACGATCTTCTTGGAAAAGGGCAACATGTGAAATTCGACAAAGTGTTACTGAATGATGGGGACGGGTATGAAGCAGTAACAGGGGTGTTCAGGTTGTTACACAATGATTACTACATCTTATGCAATCTTATCAATCTACTCGAAATGTGTTTGATGAAGAGAAAAGATGATGAATGATTTCTAATTTTTTGTATTGATGTGCCCAGTATAACTATTCGTAGAATGACATCAGTTCTGTAGGATGAAACCAACTTTTTCATTTCTATTATTATTTCTATTTTTAACACACTTGTGTTGCACTTTAGGTTTTTAAATTCAAGTATGTATTAACTTTATAGCTTAATGTACTTCAATAGAACCATCAACTGTGTGTTTGCTAATCGATGATATAAAATAAATAAATATAAAATAAATAAATGTAACGTAGATTTCATAGTGAGTCTAAGTCTGGTTATTTATAATGTTCTTTTCCCCATAAAACGTAATTTTAATGTTTACAGCTGAGACATTTTGAATGATAGAGATATTTTATGTAATGCATATTGATAAATTTATATTCTAGAACACAAACGACTGGGGTTTATGTGTTTACGTACGCCATAGCACAGAGAAGTAAAAATGAGGTCCGTGTTAATCTTATGTACAACGGTAATATTGTCAATGGAGCTGTTGCAGAAGGTACATTTAAACAAAATTTATTGTGTCTACTTGTAATTTCTAATAAGTTCATTTACTGGTTAGAAAATCTACAATTCTGTGTTGTATCGCCAAATAGTGCATACCGCTATATGTTTAATTCCAAATAAATAACATTCAAATACTAAAAAATCAGAGAGATGTCCTAAAAGAAATCAAGAAATATATTTTCAAAACATGTCGTTTTTGAAAAATAAGCGATTGAGATCGAAAACTTCATTGATTTGCAAGTTTGTACATGAAGATAAAGTCCTACAAAGTGAGTGATAAAGTAAAATTAATTTCGTTTATTTCTATATAAGTATAATTTTTACTCGCTTTTCTTTAAAACTATTTGATTCGGAATTTCATTACGTGTTTAACCCGAGCTTTTTTGTATTTAAATAATTTTGTGCATTCTTCTAAGTTTGAAAGCATCGTCGACTTAGCATGATAATATGTTCCATTTATTAAATATTTATTACAACTTTTTTTCAACAGGTGTGAGCACATATCATGATGTTCAGGGTACAAATACAGCAATAATACACGTGGTTAAGGGAAAGCCAGTTTGGATTGAGGCTGCATCACAAGGTGCTCTGGAGGGAAACGATGGTGACGGCCGATACACTACATTCAGTGGTTTCTTGTTGTACGCTAGAAATTAACTTTGATTGATATGAGACTAACATTACTCCAAAATAATTGGTTTTGACCACGTTCTGTTACAGAGACACAATTCTTGTGTAAAACTATATTCTTATATTGACCAATTCTTACTATTTATTTATTGAATTATTGATAATGCTATAAAGTAAAATACTTTCCTTGAAAAAAAACTTTTATCACAAAATAGTTAGTTCAATTTTTTGTTAATAAATAATAATTAAAAATACTGTAATTAATTAATATTTATTTTTGCTTGTTAAGAGGAAAGCTTGAAGCTTATTTGAATCATTCTTGAGTCCGTCTCAAGGATCTAGCAAGTGCCTAAATTTAGGGGGAGGATACACTTCGCACCAACACAGTAAAGGTCATACGGCGATATTCCAGCTTTACTGGTGGAGAAGGACCTCAAGCATTGCCGTTCCGTTAGCTGGAACCAATTATGGGTTGCTCAAATACTGTAAATGTCGTATGGCAACTATCTAGCATAAATGGTGAGAATGTGTCCTTTAAAATAACCAAGAAATCCTACAGGTTGATCGTTAGAAACCTTTTAACATCATGTTAATGACTAAAACGAATTTAAAAAGTGATTTAATATGGCTGGTAAAAATGTTAAAGAGCAGACTACAGTGAACGACGAGTGAGTCTATACAAAAGTATGTTGTTGTTTTTTTCTACTTTGAAAATCCGGTAATTTTATTGTTTTTATACAGTTCCAAATACATCACAGTGACTTTATGATATTAGTTATGTTCACAAGGTGCATATTTATATATTCATACTGTACATGCATACGTGTTTCATAAATTTATTAGGTAACCTGCAAAAAAATAATATTTACGCTCCAGATCGCATGTGACAGTTTCAATGTTTAGATTATAAATAATTTATAACAGCCTCAAATTTAAGTATCTGATACATGTTTCCGTATGATAATGCATAAGATCCTGTTTCGTTTCAAGAGCATTTTAATATATTTAAACCTCTATTCCTTAAAAACGGAAATGCAGCGTCGGAACATGACAATTAATGTTACGTCTACTTGTTATTGATAAGTTTAACACATACATGTATATGATATGAATTAAAATAAGGAAAAAAATGTACCTTGAATTGGGTAGAAGCTTATTCGAGTTTGACACAGATAATGCTTGACAATTTTGCTTCTATTGCATTTAATTAGGTATAAAAGGAAAAAGTGCTTTTTTGAAGGTAGACGATAAAACAAAGCATAAAATAAACTTTAATATATTCATTTGTTCGTTAATATTTGAAGAAAGTAATATTAATGTTGAATTTTACACTGAATGATTTGGTTCGTCAACACTAGCACGATAAAAGAGTAACGTGCTATCTATAAAAATGCACGGATTTGTATACATATCTGTGCACATCTGAGATAAGACCAGCTAAGAGTACTGTCGATCAATTTCTTTTTATCATTTTTTATTATTTCTGAGACAATTAAAGTCAGTTGGAATAATATTCCTCAAATTTTATTTTCAATTTAATTAATAACTGCTAAGCAATCATCTTGGACAATATATAAATACAAAATTGACCAACTTGAAACTTCTTGATATCGTTATGTATTCATAATTAATTGTGAGATCCTGTATACATTTTTGTATTCTACATAGCATGGTTTCGTAATTTAAGTTATAAGCGACTTAGCTACTTTAAGGCACACCGATGCACATCTTTCTTCCACTGTATAAGAAAAGACGTATCTCTATCACTTTTGCCATAAAGGTGGCACATGAAGGTCGCCATTTTACTATTTGACCGGAAGTAGTTCTAATATGTCGCCTTTTTATGGCAGAGCATAATAGCCGAGATGATCTGATTGTTCCCGTTGATAAGCAATAACAAACTTACAATCTAGCACCCGGTTCTATTTTATTATTGTAAACGGACGCTGGAAAGTTAGTTTGTTAGAGATTATTTTATGATAATTTGACCGTTATTGGCAAAACAAATGTGAATGTTTTAATATTTTTTTACAAAAGACGAAAGCAATTTAAAGAACAAAGACTGAGGTATGAGTGATGTGTCAATTGGTATCGGGTTCGAATACGGACATTTCTTGCATTCACCGTTTATTACACATAGATGTTTTAAGGCATTTTGGATTGTCTTCTTACTTTTTAAAGATAATTTGGCAATGAATCTTTTGCTAGAAGAATGGAAAGTATCTGAATGTTGCATGTGTAAAATGTGCTTAAAAGAAATATCGTTTTAAACAGTAAATGCTTCCAAAATTGACTGAAACACACCAGAGGCGTTCTAGAAATAAATATGAAAATACGTGGAGCATGCATGCCCCAGAACCCCCCCCCCACCCCTCCGCTAAACAGTACACACCTGTGGCATATGTGACCCGTCACAGCTAACGGTAAGCTATTTACGGTGTTACAGTCAATGTGCATGTATGCAGCTCACTTGAAAGTTATAAATGTCGAAGGCTGTATACGGTGTTACAGTCAACGTATACTGCTCGCCGTAAGCTATATATTCGTCGCGAGCTGTATACGGTACAACAGATCCTTCCTTATGTTCCTTATACTTTTGTAAAATGCATTATTGTTAGTTAAGATATGAATGTATTTGTTTCTTTTGTAGTCACTTAATTTATTATACAAATCAAAGTGAATTTTATCTCGAAATATTTCTGTATTACTCAATATTTGTACATATAGAAATGTTTTAGAAGTTCATAAATTATGCTTAATAGTCACTTACAATTCTTTTTTAGAATGGGTATGTGCAATGTATGTACACACTTTATGTATTGATGTTACAATGATGAGACTTGAATAAAGATTAAACTACGTTATCAACTTATTTACTACTAATTTCTTTTAATCGAATGCAATATTCAATCACAGATTTCCGCCATATTATTTCGGGCGTCTTCGTAACGCCGACGTCGTGACGTCACAATACACTCTTAACAACGAAAACAGTTTAGCTGAACGAACGTATATTTAGCGTTTACAGAAGATTATTATGGACAAATCATCAGACGAATCATACAGAAAAAAGAAAACTTCAGTTTCAATGTAAGAATAATTTACTTAATACAAAATATTTATACATGTGTCTAAACATTACAATAATTATACATTTAAGAAGCCATTATCTAACAATGACAATCTTTAATGTCAGTGGTGGCTGTAATTAACAAGTTACCAGAAAATAAACACATTTGATAATGCAAGATTTTAAAAATGATAAACATGTTTAATGTTAAGGACAATTTTTAAGGAAGTTTAGATGAAAAAAAAAATATTTTCTTTACTTATTTTATTACAGGACCGACATTCAACCAGCTGACCTTGACCCTGAATCCCCATCAACATCAGCTGGACCGGGAAATTATACAAAGTCTTCTCGGGTTATCCTAGCGCCTGGTATGATTGATAGACATATAGATAAATCATTTTATTATATACTTATAAATGAAATATTGAGAAATATTGATGAAATAAAATGCATATTTTCATTTTCCGTATTTTCACTGTAAAAAATTATTTTTCACTGCAGTGAAACAAATTTTCCGTATTATCACAGGTGTCTCGCCGGACTACTTTCTTTTAAATTCTGCCAGTACACAAAATCTAAGGGAAAGTCTTTCAAATTTTATCGCAAAAAAAAAGAGAAAAATGTATATAATAAACAGAAAATTCAAGTTATTTCTATAAATACATGATTTATTTTCATCTTGTGGCATGAAAATTTACCATATTTCACTCGTGGCTACCGCCACTCATGAAATACGTATTTTCATACCACTCGATGAAAATAAATCATGTATTTATAGAAAAAAACTTGAAATCCTCTATGTTTTTGTTATAATACTCGTTGTTTTTTTATTTATTTTTTTGAATAAATAAATCGTGACTTAGTCTACAAGTACATGTATATATAAACTATATACACGGCTATTCCAGTGGTTTTTTTTCTTTTATAGTTTTGTTTTTTATTTTCCCAAATAAAAGTGAGTTTGCTGTATTATGAATAAGTAATAAAGATTTTCGACAGATTATATGGCCATATATCCTTAATTGAAGGGGTCAGTGCAAGATGGTACCTAACGTTATTTAACATTATTTTGAGAAAAAGGTCATTTTATGAAATTTTAGGTTTAATTGAAATATTTTAAAATTAATTCACTAATAAGTAATGTTATTAATAAAAAGAACATTTGAAACCAAAGTTGTATGTTTAACACCATTTTTAACCATTTTATGGAAAGAAAAGTTATTTTTATCAAATGTTCTTATGCAAAAAAATGTTCTAAATCCTACGGAGTTAGGACCTTTGTAACTTCTAAAACAATTGCATAAAGTATTTGAGCTTAAAATTTACATATCTTTCAACTTTTCAATCAACTAAAAGGTTATCATATAACCCCTAATATATTTGCACATTAATATAAAAACCTATCGCGTATCAAACAAATCATCAGTTGTATACTTTGTATTTGTTACACATCCTTTAGTTGATAAATTGATGAATATTTGATTGATTAACTAATTGATTTATTGACTGACTACAGGAAACAAAAACAAATGAGTTTTAAACATATATTCTTTATAGAAAGTAACAAAACTTTAACATTCAAGCCAGTTCAAATATAAAAGAACCTATCTTACGAATAAAAGTTTTGTTTTCAATAATTCAGAATATAATTACATGTATTTCAAAAATATTGTGTGAAGGAACTGTAACAAACGTATTTTCACTAGACGACTACATTTAAATAACCTAAGTTACAAATATTATAAAATACATCAGCTTTAGCTGTATAGTTTCAATATCTCAGAATATGGTCTCGAAAAATCAAACAAAAGCTACCAGAACATGCCTTTGTCGCTAAAATGTAAAATATTTATACAATTAACATTAACTACCTTAAGCATCCTAAATGCTCAAATTTAAACATTTCCTTAAACAATAAATTTTATGGTGATATACATGTATAGAAAATCTCTAAACAAAATCTTTAAGACTTAAATGTCTTCATGCAAAAATTTAAAAAGGGATGATATGGTATATGTGCAACAAAGGTTCTATCTCCATGAACACAAAATTCACATAATAATATTTGTTATAATTTTCACACAAATCAACATTTCTGCCAATTCATTTGACAAAACATAGAAGAAAACATTGTTGTTGTAAATTTCCATGCACATTTTGACATAAAATCAAAATATAATCACATTTTCATATATTTTTTTCGCCTCAAAACAAGACAAAATGGATAGATTTAATGTAATAAAGGTACCAACTCCACCTCTGGAGTTAGGACCTTTGTAAAGTTCCTCCAAGAACCATTTTCACCTTAAAACAAAGAAATAAGTAACAAAGGGAGGTTATTCTAATTCCAAATAACGTTCTTTAAATCACAAAGGTCCTTACTCAATTTCACCCAAAATTGTAGTTAGGTACCTTGTTGCACTGACCCCTTCAATTACGGGCGACATTTATGGACAAGTTCAAGTCTTTTAGTGTTTTTGAAAATGTCGCAAGTTAAAACGAATCTCCTATTTGTTTTAAAAAATAATGATTTAAATGATCAGACAAAAAGTTTTACATAATATAATTTTTGAAAAAAAGTACAATGTTTGAAAGTCTCAAGACAGTATTACTATTATGTAACATATTCATATCCCTCGTGTTTAATGTTAATAAAGATAAATATGTCACTCTGACACTCTACTTTAAGGTTTGGGCAGTCCCTGTCGTTACAGTGAAAGTCCCCAGAGAAATGCAAAGGGTGTTAAGCGGAAGTTTGAAGAGAACGGAAACGAGACACGACATTGTAAACGACAAAAGAAATATCGCTACATGAGCACGGTTAATGATCGCGGTGAAAAAAGGAAATATCCATTTGATCACTCAGAGCAACCACGGAAACGGTTCAAATCATCACCGGTTGAAAATGAATACAAACAACGTGTTACATTGACAAAACCTGCATTACAATACAGCGAATCTTACAACAAGTCTGTTATCAGGAATTCTAGATCTAATTCAAGAACAGACGACAATGTTAATTTAGATATACTTCCGGTAGCAGGCACATCCGGGAATCGTAGTAATGAGGATATTGGGGAAGCAGACGACAATGTAAAATGTCCTGCATCATGTGTTTGCAACAATGGTCACAGTCGAATTCCTGAACCGATAAAGCGTTATTTCGACACGCCAGTATCCATGCGTAAAAGCGTGTTAATGCGCATGTCATATTCTCTGGCTAACACCGTTTACCAGTGCTGCCCAGCTAGATGCGTCAGGAAGTTACGTAGAACAACAGTCATGCGCACTTCACTTCTCAATATTTTGGAGGACTACGACGAATCAGATCTCAGAGTTTACAAGTACTCTTGGGGTGAATGGAAGGAGTAAAGATTAAAGTAATGGACGATTTTAGATATAATTATTTGAACTATATTCTCGAATTGTATTTATTACATGCATGTTCCTGGATTATCTATAAAACGTATCAAAGAGATGAATAGCACCGCGCAAAACAAACTTTGACATAATTTGAATATTGAATACTTCATGTATTCAGAATGTTTATATGAAACGCATATGTGTAATCAAAGAAACAATCGTCTTCAAAATACCATGTAACGCGAAGCCGCGTTGCTGTAAGAGAAAATTCCTAAAAACGTCAACTTTGTAATATCTCAACAAAAATTATAATGAATAAACCTGTTTTCCGAAACATTTAACATTCAGACCAAAAAGAAGATTTGTTTTCTATTTTATACCGTAATTGTTAAAAATAAGTTCAAACAGAAAGAAAAGTTATAACGGTTACATTTGTTTCATGTATTTGTTCTTGATATCTAATTTCTGTTTCATTAAATGGAATATCAACAGATGCTTGTTTCATGTTAAAATGTTATGTAACATTAACGTTATTACAAGAAATTACGTTATGTACATTCATGTTAAGAAAATTAAAAGTAAAGTAGTGATCCAGTAGTTAATTGTTCTTTGGAAATTCTTCTTTACAGCAATATAAGGCTCAACTATCTAACGCACGGAAAATGACGGCGGCGTATAGTCAGTTCGTTCATTGGCGTGTAAAATGGTATATATTTTCGTGAAAGAAAAACACAATTATTTGGAACCAACTGTTTTCGAGTAACTATTGGGATTTTTTACGGGTTTTATTTTTTTGGAGGTTTTTTTAACCAGGGACAAAAAAAAGAAACAGGCGTTTTTTTTTTATTGACTTTTTTTCTTTGTATGTATACTCAAAGGTCAAATGTTTTTAAAAAAATACAATTTTTTAAAAAACCATTTTTCTAATTCCCTGGATTACAATTTCATCATTTGGGGGGTTTACTTTTCAGAAAAAAAACTTTAAAACTCTGGCCCTGGGAAAAATGTCGAGAGTTACCATTTGGGGAAAAAAAAAAATGACTTAAATGCCCAAATAAGAAGTTTGAACGTTCCCCTTTCACCAACGCCCCTGTTTTACATGTACATTTTTCCAAAATTAAACAACTTTACCAGTACTGTCGTATGGCCCCAGTATTGGGTTGTTTAGAGATCTTCCGGGGATGATTTTGTCCCGAATATGAAAATGTATCTAATATTTACTTATAAAAACATATTCAAATTTCACGACACCGACACCGTTAAACTGGCTGATGTACAATTCGGAAATGTTGCCATGCACAGACCTCTTCCTCTCTTTTTTGATTTCTTTGTAACAACTATTAAAAATTTTATAACAAGGTGAAGTTTTAAATAAAGGAATTATAAATAAGAATTTAAATTGGAGCCGTGTGTGCCGCCGTTATATGTCGCAACGCCGCTTAATATCGCAACCACCGCTTAATATCGCAAAATCTTTTGCCGTTTATAGTCGCATGGTAACGTTAAATGTCGAAAAAATCCCTTTCCGTTAAATGTCGTAACACTACCGTTCAATTCCTGTTATAATAAAGTTAGCAAGTGGTATTAAATTACATTCAACAATAAGTAAACGTTTTCTGACAAGCGCGTGTCGGGGGGTACTCGGCACTTGTGACAATTTCTAGTTTAAATCTTGTCAGACAGGTGAGTCCTCTATTTAGATCTTCAGGACTATCAAATTATTAATATTTGGGGTTTAAGAGTGGTTTAAATTGTGATTTGTACTAAATTCGAGCTCTGAAGATTACGAACTGGACACCAATCTAGCCACTTAATTGGAAACAAACAAATCAAACACTCGTCAAAAAAATGTTGTTGTTTTTTTACCTTCAAAAAAGAGTTTAAAGTGCTAAATTCAGCTTGCCTTAAATACGTATTTTATGAAAATTACCATTTTTGACGAGTGTTTCTTCGAAAAAAACACAAGTTTTCCGACGAACTCCGTGACAGTTATCAAAAGGACTCCTGATAAGTTATCAGAAGAATTCTATCCTCCGTGTAACAGTTACTACCCCGTGTTTCTGAAGAACTGCATCCTCCGTGTAACAGTTCCTCTACCGGATGTACAAGTAATCTGCATAGTCAATATATCAAAGGCATTTTATCTATTTTTATTTTATTATTTTTTTTCTTTCAAATACATGCATACCAAAACGTATCTATGTTTAAACGCATCTTTTCAAAAAAGGGAATATACTTCAAATGTGTAATTATTTTATTATAGAATTAATACATAGAATTATATAATACAATATAGGGAACAAACAATGGTATAACAACTTAATTTTAGTCCATTACAAAACCGTTGTTGTAGTAGGCAAATACCTCAAATGTTGAACTGCACATGGTCTTGTTTTCATATATGGATTGAAGCTTAGCAAAGTTAAGTTCATCTCCGGTCTGATCGGAAATTTCCATCAATGTAATTTGTTCCTGCATAAAAGTTCCTGGTTCAGTTAGCGTACATGTATTCTTCGATTTTGTAAGATCGCTTGAAACGAACGCTGAGTCCAGGACAATACTCGCACTGCATGTTGTGTTGCTGATGTTAGTAGATGTATTCCGATTGTCCACCGTTTTCACGTCGGCGGTACCCGAGTTAAGCCGAGGATTGCCGACGGAAGTTAAATTCAATTGTGTATTTCCGGAAACTGATAGGGAGCCATCAACTCTTGTTTGATCAGTCATAAATGCAGAATTTAAATACGTTCTTGATTTGACAGGAGAAAAACATGTTAGGTTTTTATTAGCTATACTTTTCTTTGCAAATTTTTTTCTCAATTTCATGGTTTTATATAGATTAAGTAATCCTTTAAGATTGCCCGTTGGCTTACGTTTAAGTGGTTTTCTGGTCTCGGAAAGGGCATTGTATTCACAATACATAGGCTTGGAGTCTGAGACCTTTTCATTTTTCGCAACCAACCGATCAGCTTTTTTAATAATAGCTTCTTCACTTATAGCATTTTCATTACCCGTAGCACTCTTTGATGTAACTTCCCTTTCACTACGTCCATTTTCAACATCAGTCGATTTGTCGTCTGCTGAATCAGGCACTTCCGTTCCATCACCGGGCATGCGCACTAAATCTATATCAATGTACTCATTACTTTGAGTACTTGATGAAGAATTACTACTGTTTGAAAAGTCGTCTTTGTCTTGAATATATCGCATATCCCAACACGTGCGAGGATTCAAATGTTTCTCAGAAACATTTACAGAAATTTTGGCAGATTCCTGTAATACAGGGTCCATTGTATCTACATAATAATCAGCTTCACTTATGTCCGAAATCTCGTCGATTTCTACATAGTTCAACTGCCTGACAGCATCACCTGAATATCTTCTCAGTATAGATCGCTTTCCTTTATTTTCGTCAAACAAATTCACCACCTTTTCTTTTAGATTAGCTTTACGCGTCTGTTTCCCTAAAACACTGAATCGTCCTGGCGTATCCACGTGAAATGCTATGTTTGCAAGTTTCATGATTGTAAATAGTAGGTGTATTAGAAAATAATTTTGTACTGAACACACTACTGGACTTGCAAATGTTTATATCTTGAACATTCACAAAAGTAATGATAAAAATAGTTTTACCAGATTCTCTTATATAACTTACATAAGCCCATTTACATATTTAATTCTGTGAAGATATTATGTTTCTGTTATCTTAACTGATTAAAATAAAATTTGTAAAGATAAGATTAGATACGATAAAAGAGATAACACGTTGGCACGAGCTTAATACACGTGTTACCAATTACAGTATGGTGTTAATTGGTGTAATTGATGCTTATCTTGTATATTGACACTTATGTAATCGTTCACATTAGATTGCGCTAATTGATAAGAGCGGAACTGTACTGGACTAGAGGAAACAGACGCTGGCTGCAAATCCAGGGGTTGCGTGTGTTCGGGTCTCCTTTTCTCCATGGATATTTATTACAATATAAATCCGCGCTTTATCCAAATGAATTTACTTATTTACCACACAAAATATCTTTAGGGAACTTGTTCATCTTTAAATATGAACAAAACTATTCATCAATTTTAACAGATACTTTTATAAAGCTCCATGTATACTAAAAACTCCATGTTAAGAGAAAATTTTAAAATATGAATTGATTAAATGAACAGAGAACAGTACATACCATGAGCAAACGGCACGGCTGATAACTTATCGTAATAAAAAAATTATTCATTTTATAGTTTTCTTATTTTTGTCAATATTATATTCTGGGACCTTTTCATTATAATTCGATTAAACACATAATATTTCTTTAATCATTTTAAAAGATATATATTTTTTCTTTAATAAGAATGTTATGCATTTGGCATTTTCCTTTAGATAGTATATAATAATTGTTAAAATTTTATGTATGTAAAGTAATACATATTGTACATCATACATAATCAAAGTGCTGCAGCACTGAATGCTACGGACATGCAACCGGAGAGACATTAATTAAGGCTTCTTTTAGAAAAAACAAAACAAAACAAAAACAAAACACAAAATATATAACAGAGAAAATTTGTTCCATACAAGTTCGATATTTGTAGAGCAATATATTTTGTGTCCTAAATTGATATAATTCAGATTTTCTACTTTCAAGCACTTAAATACAGAATGAAATTTATGCCTAAAAACTCTGGTCAAACTTGTAAATCAGTGTCCTTATCGATTTATTCTAAGAAATGATATGTAAATAGAAAAAAAAAACTATCAACGAAATATTTCTAGAATAAATCCAGGCAAATAAACTTCAAACATAATACATTATACATTTGAGAATGCTATTTAGAATTGTTTCGTGTTATATCATAGTGGGCATACAGACAATAAAATATAAGTCATTTGTATTTTTATTTCTCTTGGATATGTCTCATTAAAAAAATGGTTAAAATCATCAGCAATTAATAGTGTATTTCTTAGATTTTTTTATTTACAAGGTAAAGATGTAGAGGCCAGAACACATCGTTTTTATTTTAATTAAATGTCACTTAAGCACTACAGTGTTTAGTTGTCCTTTTCAACTTCACACTAAATTCCATTTTCAACTTGTTTGCTTCTTACAATTGTATAGCATTTCTAAAAGTATTGCATTACAATCCGCTGGTTTATTAATTACATGTTTAATGTGTACTTCCTAATCGCCTGTCCAAAAATCAGAACAGGTGAAGCAGAATCTATTTTTAGAATAGCGAAGGTTAACTCATATCATGACCTAGTAAAATATGTAAACAAACCACAAGAATCGGAAGAAGAACTGATATTATAACTTCCTTACCATGAAAGACTACATGGCGGTAAAGTGTCTTACATGCATTTTCAAAAATAGATATTTATACTAGCCATTGTAC